CGGTTGCACTGCCAACTTTATACGTGCAGAGTAAAAAAAAAAAAAAGAGAGAGACTCTCCAGAACCCTTTACTTTATGAGAGGGCTGTGCTCATGAGTTTACTTTATGAGAGGGCTGTGCTCATGAGTTTACTTTATGAGAGGGCTGTGCTCATGAGCAAAAGTCACTTTAGGCCTCTGTACTTTGAGGCGGCAGTTGCCTTCTAGATATTGTTCTCTGACAATGTCCAGTTAGTGCTCCTCCTAAGATTGTTTTACTTTTGTCATTGCTAGTTGGCTTCCAAATGTTGTGTTCCTTCTGCAGTCCATCCAACTGCTGCCATCTCCCACTCTTAATGCCCCTGTTTTGCTGCCACTTTAAATGTATACCCATATGTAAAATGGTAACACTGTTGTTGGCAAGGCAGCAAATGATGAATGAGATTTATCAAAATCATCAGTGAGACATAACTTATCAGAGGTAAAGCCTAAACTGGACTCATTAGGCTTATCAATGTCCTTTACCTCTATGAAGACCACAACAGGTTAGTACAGAAGGAAGGGATGCAAACTGTAAGGTTTTCTGAAATAACTATTATGGTATTTCTGATGATCAGCTTAATGTTTTCTCATATGAACACCATATAGCAATATACTGATTCAATATTGTTTCTCCTCCTCTCCTCAGTATATGATGATATAATCCAGGGATTGAGTAGAGTCAGTGGTGAGTAAATGTTACTTTTATTTATTTATTTCATTTATTTATTTAAAAGATTTGTATGGCCACCCATCTTAAACATAACTCTGAGTGGCTCACAACAATAAAACCAGTAACTATAAAATTATAAACCATAAAACCATAAAATAAAACAAAAAACTGGCACCTCAATCACCCTCTTGGGATGCCCCACCACTAGGTCCAGATCTCCTCATTCTGTCCCAGCACCTGGTCTTGATGGCCCTCCAAAAGGCAAAAAGGTGATCTTTGAAGATTAATCCTTATATCCTTCCCAGGGTGTTGTTCACATTCTGAAAAAGTTAATGACTTTATTAATTGACATTAAAAAGGTAAAGTCTTCCTTGAGTCAGGCTTAACTCCTGGTAACTTCATGCCATTGCCTTCTTCTGGGACATTTTTTCAGTGCTTGAATCTGTAAGGTTTTCGGAAATAACTATTATATCATCTTTGAGTATTCACTTACATAGAGATACTACATAGCAATATTAGTATCACCTGAGTAGTTAGCATTTGGTTAGAATCCAAGTACTAAGAAGGTCCAATTCTGCTTAGCTTGGGGGAAGCCAGAGTCAGCAAGGTGTTGCCATCTGGCAGGAATAAAATATTTTTCCATCTGTTAGGTTTTGTTTCATTTATTGAAATAGGCTTAGGACAATTCAGATTGTTATATCTGTAAATAAGAAGTTACCAGGCAATACTATATTCAAAGATTCAACTTGATACTAAATCATTTTAAATTTAGTATAACACCTTAAATAGATATGCATGTCTTAAATTAAAGATCAGAAATGTGATGAATGTTGGCATTTACTGGCATATTATAAGAATAAATAAGGCTTAGCAGAAAATGATAGCAATGTTGGTTAATTTTGACATTTATCATCATTATACAGTAAATGTTCTTAACCAGTTCATTTTGGTAATGAAGATAATATTTTGTAACCTGGGGAGAGGACATTTACCTGTGAGATTTCTGATGGCAGAATTTTTAAACATTTTAAAAATCAGCAAGTGTCAATAACAACTGTTGAATAAACGCTATTTAACTTTGCATATGACAATAGGGGAAAAAAGACTCTTTTACAGTTTTATTGTGATGTACATTTTATGGAAAACCTTCAGCAGAAGTGTTTGGGGGTTCAAAATGTGAGTTTTGAACATAAAATCCACTGTATTAAAAAATTGCTGTTATTATTTAAGAGGTTAGACCTTAAAATCTGGTTATAAAGAACATTTTTCTGACTGCAGGTAAATCAGCTTCTGCTCTGAAGATCCACTGCAGTACAGAAGGAATAAGACTGCAGTGTTCCTTGAAATATTACATGGAGGAAATGAAATCAAGCTGGTATCACGAGTAAGGGAGAACCAAGTTCTGACTCCTACATGAATTTTACCTGGTATTCAGTAGCTAGTGAAAACACGTTTTGGAAACGATGCTGACATTGCAGGCAGGAGAATTACAGCTCAGATGGTCCCTTCTAACTTATTTTTCAAAAAAGGAATAAATTAAATTCCCCAGTGATAGGTTTTGCATGAGAAATGAGCCAATATATGTTTTCATACTGTCATCAGCACAGCTGGCAGTTTTGCCTGCAAATCCCCAGTCACCCCTGAATCATCCCAGGACCTTGCAAAGCAGGGAGCGTGAAACAAATCTTCAAGCCAGCAGGCGATCATCCACTCACTGAAAAGCGGAGAATGTAATGGGGCTTCTATCTATAGGTCCGTTTGGCTGAGGAAGCCGATGCTTATGTAGCAAAGCAACAGCTCAGTGACACTATTCCATTCTTTCCATATTAGTTCCTTGTCATTGTTAGGTCAAATCCCATCAATTTGGATTGCTCTTTTTAGCTGATCAAAGAGAATGTCATCTATATAATGAAGTTAATAGAGAATACAGGAGATAAGTTGAGGTTATTAATCTTCTAACCTCTCAGAATTTAGTTATTGTTAGATGAAAATGCTTAGCAAACAACTTTTTTTGACATTGCTGGTTGTTTCCCCATGATTTAATGTATGTATGACAACACTTAGCCAACTGTGGCTAATTTTAAAAAGCTAAGCAGGGCAAACCTGATTGGAACTTGGATAGGAGACCATCCCAAAATATAAATATTATGGTTCCAGGCTAAACCAGGAAGTCAAGAAAACATTCTGGAAGAAGGTGGTGGTAAACCACTTCTGTAATGTTGCCAGAACACTTCCCCCCATGTGTATACCATGAAGTCATCAGGCGTCAAGTGTGACACAAAGGGGACTTTATATTTTGACATACTTCCTCATCAAACTTTTTTGAGGTAGCTAATAAATAAAAATATGCTACGGTGGAAGCTATCAATTGTCTTCAAACTCAGTGTACAAGGGGTTAATTTGTTACCAGGCCCTGGTGTCTGCATAATGGGGGATTTGCCTGCCCACTGGATTAAAAAAATTAATAACAGAACAGAGTGGCTCCCATATTCTGTGTGGAAAGTGTGGTTGCCATGTATGCACAAATGCAGATGTATATATACAGAACATAGTGGCCACAATTCCCTACCTGGAATTAGTATTCAGGACACCTATGCTACCAGGGCTCTTCACTGGGAATGTGAGCAGTTCTTTTCCCCCTTCAATCCCACACACTGCTAGGGAGCTATTTAGTCCTAAACATTAAGTATGCAAAGCAATGCAAAGGTCATCATACCAAAGTAATTGGTTAAAAAAAAGCAATAAATTAAGTAAAATATCTTATGACCCCTATAGGCTTTTTTTATCTTGAGAACTTCAGATGAAATGTCAGGTTTTCTTTGAGTTATTCACGTCTGCCCCATGTGCTTGAAGAAATGCCTCTGGTTCTTCAGATAGGTACCTAATAGCGAGCGTCTGACTTCTGAATGTGGCTGCAGTTCTGTGTAGTTCAGAATTATCTGCTGCAGCTGTCAGTTGTTCTGTGGAGCTTCAAACAAGGGCTTTCCCAGCCCTATCTGCAGATATTGGGGACTGCACTTGGGATATACTTCAACCCACAGCTGAAAGTCTCTCTCTGCTCAGTTGCCTCCCTGCTTCTGATTCATAAAACTTTGATTAACCAATCATACAGCTACATGCTTTTGCTTGCTCTCCTTTTGAGCACCTCTTTCATCTCCCCTATTTCCCCTCAGAATATTCAGATATCCTTTGTTGTCTTCTCTCTCTCTCTCTGAAAATGCAAGACACATCCTGAAACCACTATAAATGATAAACAGCAGAAGTAATAGAAATCTCCCTAGGAGATAGATGCTTTTCCTTAAAGAGCAAAATAAAAACAAAATGAAATTCTTTTAAGCTTCGTGTAGATTATTACATTGGAATATGAATAGAACAAAAATAAGTATAAAATAAATTTGAAATGAAAGAGAAGAAAGTCACAGGATTTAAAAGAAAGACCAAGTGGGGATGTCATCCTCTGAAAAAGAATCTTGCTGAAGTTTTGAAACCATCTCAGAATTTTCTTCCTTCTATAGGTACAGAGGATAATGTTTCAAATATTTTTTGGTCAAAGACAGTGCTTCTGATTGAAGTCTGCAAATTCCCAATATTTTTCAAGATTGTATTGAAACTGCAGTCTGGAAGAGAATTCAGCTCTTTTATTATTAGGTTTCTTGATATTCAAATATATCACAAACCCCCAATAATGAAAGTGTACAGTACTTTCCTTGGACTGCAACTTCAGTACAATCTTGCAAAGAATTTACATTTACAACTTTGACTATAATTTCTATGTGTGCTGGCTTAGGATATACCTGAGGATTTGGGCATATCTGGTGAAATTTATCAATATTTCCCTTTTGAACACCCTCCCCTCCCCAGTAACATTTTTCGGACTATGCACTTTTAGAAGTCACATGGCATCAAAACCTTTACTTAAGACTTTCTGGCTGCTTTAAACTAGCTGTAAGACACTCAGGAACATCCCTCTTTGGTTTTGTAATGTTCAAGTATATTAAAATGAGGTGTGTTTGAATGTGGTCTCTTTGTTTAACTAGGGAAGCTAAGGTTTCTTCAAGTGAAAAGATGAGGATTGGTGGTAGTGATGAAGTTGCCTGGATACAGTTATGTGAGCCTACAGAAAAAGATAAAGGGAAATATACCTTTGAGCTGTTTGATGGCAAGGAAGCTCACAGGCGGACAACTGATCTATCTGGGCAAGGTAGGAACCTCTACCACCGATTCAACATTTTATCCCTGTCAAATATATTTTGGAAACTGCCCTAGTTCTCTTTTGTTTATTCATAAGCACTAATTTGTGCTGGGCATGTTCAAGGAACATGCATCATCTTTATTCATTCCACGTCTCTTCTCATCAAGACAGACTTTGATCCCTGTTTTCAGATTTTATTTGACGTTTCTATACCACACTGTAAGTTGTGGGGAAAAAAAGCAAAGCAAAGCAAGTATGTCTGATAGTATTTTTACCAACTCAAAAAGTCAACTTCATAATGTTGAAATGTTTCCTTGCAGCCTTCAATGATGCCTATGCAGAGTTCCAACAGCTCAAGTAAGATTTTAAATTTTTGCATTCCACATAAACTTTGCAGTTAGCTTATTTTGGTTACCAGTGTCATTTTACTGGGATATTAATTTTTTCCACTTTTTTTCCCTTCCCACTTTAGGGCGGCGGCTTTTGCTGAGAAGAGTAAGTATTTAAAAATAAGCAAACAAACAAAGGAATGTTCAGTATGAATACATAAGAACAGGAGATTGCATTCTAGTAAAAACAAGTACAGTATTTTTGATTGTTTATGAAAAAGATGAAGTGTTACACAAAGAATGCTTCTCATCAAACATTTTTGAATGACTGTAGTTGAAATAAGAGGTGTGTATAGATAACCAGATTTGCTTATTTGGTTCAGTGAGTTGGCAAACAATTTGACCCATCTTAGATTAACCAGGAACACCTCCTTCTCCATTCAACTAAGGAACATGGATACAAATCCTGATTCAGAAATCTGTCCCCCCCACCTTTCATATAGTTAATAATTGGATATTATTGAATGGATGAATGAATTCTTTATTATTGCCAAAGGCCATCAGATAGTCTAGAACTAGAACATCCAAACAATAACACATATATAATAAAACTGACAGGGACATAGAAGCAATAGACTATATATTGCAACTGGAGAGAGTGATGGATTATCAGTTTTGCTGGTGTCCTGTCAGCAGAAGATAATGAGGGGACACCAGCAAAACTGATAGGCAATCTCTTTCTACAGTTCCAGTTGTCATATATAATCTCCTATTGCTTTTATGTTACTGTCTCTCATATTATTGTATTATGGTTTAGATGTTTATTCCAGTAGGCTATTTTAACTGCTAGCCATTGGCTATAATAAAGAATTCATTCATTGGATAATTGGACATCAACAAATAACTAGAACTTTTTTTTCATGTTGACAGGACGGAATGAAAACTTTGAGAATAGAAATAGAAATTGCTTATGAAGCATAAGAAATGTCATATACTAAGCACAGAAGTTTACACAGTGTGTTAGCCACCTTTTTGTTAAAAAAATAAATTTTGGAGGACATTTTTATTTCTTGGTCAACTGGAAATTTGTAGACAAAGTTGACCCTACTGTGGGGATCAAGCCTGACAAGTTTCATATGACTAGGTTAATGGATTTGTATGTAACAGCACCCTCTCCATTAGGGAATCCCCTCCTTTGAAATAAAAACTATCACTGTAAGGATTTGTGTGTGAGCAAATGCTTGGAAATGGCACACAGCATCAAGATTGCCCTTGCTAAGAAACTTGCAACATTTCAGAAGGATAGATGCAATAGTTTCTGTGAATGGCAGCCTTCACATTGGTCTGGATATGCTATATGTGTGGGAAGGTGCATTTTTCACTCCCTCCTCTGCCTTTCTATAGGCTTGTTGCTGATTTGACAATTTGTTTGAAAAATGTTCCAAGGGAAAGAGATGCCTTAAGGCAATAAATCTGGAAAATTATGGACATTTTCAAAAGATAGGTGTAAGGGTTATGACCTGGGTGATATTAAGGCTTTTAAATAGAAAACTATATGGGATAAGGGTGGATCACCCCACTTTCCAAATGGATATCTAAAGATGCACTCTTGCAGGCCCCACATTCTGCACCAAAAGCAGAGTGCATTGAGATAAAAGCAAAGAACACTGAAAATTAGAATATTGCTATGATATTTCTCTATATTTCACTTTACGACCTCTTCCCCTAAAGCACTATAGGTAGGCAGTCCTGGAAAACAGTTCACCATAATTTGAAGCTAGAGCTGTCAGTTGCACACTGTAATGCTCTTCTCTCTTCCTTTCTCCATTTGCCATCCTGGCATTATTCTTAAGTGGGGATAAATATATCTGTTTCTGCCCTGACAAACCGCTTGTGGCACTTCAGTGGTTTCTGTCAAGTTTATCTACACAAGCTAGGTATGTTTTGGGAACTGAATGAATACACCTCGTTGAGATCAAATTCACTCCAACCTGAAAGGGAATATGCAGGTTTGTGTTAGGGGAGCCCTACATAACTCAGTTTAATGCATATATGATGGCCGCCAGGGAACATTAAACATCTTGTTTTTGCTATCTGCCTAGAAGTGCAAAAAAACTGGGGGATGGTTATTAACCTGGCAGGTGGAAGTCTAAATGTTTGGATAATTTTGGGAAGTGTGTTAATAAGTGAGAAAGGTATTCAACCTTAATCTTCAAACTTAGTAACTATCTTGAGTTTAAGAACTGTTGGTGATACAGGCAAATTTCTATAATGTTCATTAAAGACACAAGATGACATGTGAGGTATTGATGTGGCAAGAAGTCTAGGTGATGCAGAAATACCATTATTATCATAAGTTGGGTAACAGACCTGGCATCTCAGCCCTAAGCATAATTAAGAATTTATGAAGATCTCACTGCATCAGATGTACTTCAGCATTCTATTTCCACAATGGGTGATCCGTTACGGGCATCAGTGGTAGGGAGGAGGCAAAATGTGTGCTGTATATCATGGTGCAAATTCGATCCCTTCTGTACTTGTGTCCTGATGTTGTATGTTTTGTTATTTTGATGAAATGTCCAATTTGCTGCAGACATCCATGTGACCAGTGCTTATGGGAAGCTCCCAAGAAGGAGACAGGAGTGCTAAACTCTGCTGCTCAAGTTTCCTAGCAATTGATATTGAGAGGAATAGTGCCTCTGATACTGGAGATAATAAAGAACCACGATAATCAGTAGCTGGTGGCAATCTTGTGTTAGCAAATTCTCTAGTTTAATTGTGATGAAGAACTTCATCTCTCCTGAATCTTTCCTCATTTAGCTTCATCAGATGGCTATATCAAGTTCCACTTATTCATCCTTTTTTCTAAGGATGTTGAAACTTCCCTCCTGAGCCTTAGCCCCTGGAATCTAGATAATTTTTGTTTCCCTTCTTTGTGCATTTTCTAGCTGTACAGGCTCAGAATTGTGTGCAGTATTCCAAATGTGGTTGCGTCATAGACTTCTATAAAGGCTTGATTGCAATTCTATTTTAGAATTTGCCATTTCACAGCTGCCACATTTGGGGTTTATGTTTTCACCAAGCTATATACCATCTCTCTTCAGGAAGCCTTTGCTTCCTTTTTTATTTTAATCACCCTAAATAATTCCAGATTGTCATCTCACTGCTGATGCCTAACTCTCTTTCTGCTACTATAATGTGTTGAGTATTGTCATCTAACATCACAGCCTCCAGGACTATGTCTTATTTCATCACTGTGTTCTGGGCATCTTCTAATGCCGTCTGTTGCCATTTTGATGAACCATCATGATGACCTTCTGGTCATTTCATTTCTAGTCATGACTAAAGCCAGTCATTTCATATTTCCTGTGGCAACCATTTCACCTGAATGAGTCAACCAAAGAATCCCACTATTATCGGTACAGAAAGCCTGCCAAACAGATAGATATAAACTAGGCAACCTGCTATGGTAAAAATGTTCAGGAATGCCTGCTTTGTCCTTGCATGGAGATTCTATTTTCAAAGATGGGTGGCAAAGAGAACCATGGCCAGCTCTCTTGAGGGTTGCTTAGGGTTTAAAGTACTGCTAGAGTAGGACCTGATCTGGAGTGAGGTTTGGAGGGTAGCGAAGGCTGCTGGTGTTCCTCTGGGTGCTATTCTAGTGGGTGCTGTAGGTCACATAAAGCATGGAGTAAGAGGAGCTGGGCTCCTGCTTGAGGAGGACTGGGTGCTATTTAATATCGGTTTGCCATTGTTGCATCTTTTCTCTGAAGTAGCTAGAGCACTTGGACAAATTATTGCATAGTAACTTTATTTCTGTATATTCACAGATCGTGGTAAAGTAATTGGTGGTTTGCCGGATGTTGTGACCATAATGGAAGACAAGGTATGGATAAAACACCTTGGTTGGTTTTGTTATTTTTGTGTATGGAGAAAAGGGTCTCCTAAGAGAACATTTTAGGAATATGAACCTATTGGATTTTGAAGAAGCCAGATAGAATGAGTGTAGATGCTTTTGTCTGGTATTGAAGAAGACTCCTGAGAATACCATGGATAGCCCAGAAAACAAACAAATGAATCATCAAACAAATCAACCCAGAGTTCTCTCTTGAGGCACAGATGACCAGGCTGAAATCATCATACTCCGGACAAATTATGTGAAGACCCAGCTCTGAAGAAGTCTATAATGCTGAGAAAGGTGGAAGGAAAGAGAAGAAAATGACAACCAATAGCAAGGTGGATGAACTCAGTTACAGTAGCAATGGGTGCTCCATTGGAAGACCCAAAGAACCAGGATGGGGACAGACTGTCTTGGAGAAAATCCATCCATGTGGTCATTCAGAACTGACATCAACTCAATGGCACATAATGAATGAATGAATGAATGAATGAATGAATGAATGAATGAATGAATGAATCAATCAATCAATCAATCAATCAATCAATCAAAAAAAAAATCCCATACCCACCTATTCATTTAGTAAGATTTACTCATGGAATAAATATGCATAGGACTGCAATTTTAGGAAATGCTTTCTTTTTACCACACGTCTCTAAAATGCAGAATCTCTGGCCTGACTATGTACAACATTCTGTTATCAACAAAGTTCATATACAGTCTAGGTCTAGATAAGAAAT